AAGCTACAAAGGGTTTCCATTTTAAAAAGAAATCATGCCTTCAAGATGATTAATTTCTCAAGATCACCTGGCTACTTTAACATTAGAGGTGGGATTCCTAACCCCCAAACTTAACCAAAAGCATTGCCATTAGTTGATGCTGACTCATAGCGACCCAATACGACAGAGCAGAAACGCCTCTGGGGTTTCTGAGTCTGTAACTCTCACCAGTAGAAAGCCCTGTCTTGCTCCTACGAAGGGCCGGTGGTTTCAAACTGCTCACCTTGCACTTAGTATCCTAACTCATAACCACTACCTTACCAGGGCTCCTCTCCTGAGATTCATAACCAGATCCTGCAAATTCAACATCATTCTATTTCCCAGGAGACATGGATATCTTCTCCCTTCCCTCCTCTCGCCTACATTCACCTCCTTCTCCTCGGCTTTCCCTTCCCTTCTCTTCCTCCTTCTTCTTTCTTCAGTTCTCCCTCCTTCCCGCCTTTCCTGTCTTAGACGTGGTGGTTGAGGGGTTGTGACCTGGCTGTCCTGGGCTTACCCTGGTCTGAGTCGTCTACACCATTCACCTGTCCTTAGCCGACTTCTATGCATTAACCAAGACAGCGTGGTGGGGTGAGCAGAGCGGTTGTGCTTCTTCTCTGTGGGAAAAGTCTTCCTTTGTGCGCCCTGGGGGACGTGGGGCTTAGGGGCAGTCTCACTAGGAGATAGAGCTGCATTTGGATCCTCTTGGTTGAGAAATACATGTATTTCAAAACAAGCAACCATCTATCTAAATGAAGAGTCAGCCAAGTCCACACAGAAGCAGCACACCAGCCTGGCAGTCCAAGGAAGGAATGGTGTCAGAGCCTAAATTCTAAATACTTTTCAGAACTTTATGGCTGCTAGTAGAAGCTCAAAATCCAGTTGCAGCGTTCCTACCTGGATCGACAGGAAAAAGACGGGGCTTTCTACTCTCATAAAGAGTGACAGTCTCAGAAACTCACAGGAGCAGTTCTGCCCTGGCCTATAGGGGTGTTATGGGTCGGCATCAAATGGTTTAATTTTTTGGATTGAGTCTCCAGTGAATTCCCATTGACCACAGTCTAGGGAGGCACATAGCCTTAATCTCAGACAGAGAGCATTGTAACGTGGGTTTTAGCAGCTGGAGGCCGGCTGAAGAATGCAACGCCTTATTAGATGTCCCGTCGGACCCATTTTGAATTCATTCTTTTAAAATATTTTTTGCTTTCTTTTCTTTTTTTAAAAAATTTAAATTCTGCTTTTTTTTCAATTGAGGTTTTTTTCTCTTCCTTGTTTGGTCAGTGTTGCTGGGTCCTCTTTTTTTTGGCTTTGTTTTGTAAATGTTTCTGTTAAGAAGTCAGGATGGGTGAATCTATGAAGAGAGCAACTGGATTAATAATGACCTACGACCATGGAAGCAGAGGTTGGGGGAAAAAGGGGCGTCAACAGCAGGGGGTACAAGATGGAAGAAAATGTTCCAGAGTTGACTGTGGTGATGACTGCCCAACCTTTCTTAATACGATTGAACTAATCAGCCGTATATGTTAATTACAGCTCAATAAAATGATTTTATATATATATATATGCAGACTTATGTAGACACATGCTGTTAACATCTGCTTTTTAAAATCTCTATTTCAGGAGCCCTGAAGGGGTAGTGGGTTCTGAATT